ATGAGGTCACTGTCCCCAGAAGCATTTCTTTGACCACCTGTTTATTGCAGGTACTGGATGGGTGCTGTGGGTGCCTCAGGAGTTAGAAACACTGACATACAGTCATAGCTCGGGTGGCTGGCATTGTGACTGTACTTGAAGAGTTCTTGGAGAGTCTGTCTGGCATTGTTTTGCTTCAGTTTACCTTAATGGCAATCAGGAAGGGAAAGATTTGGTTTAATAAAGGCTACATTAGTCAACCATCACTAAATTCCTCCAGTCCCCAGAGAAGTGACATCCAAAAAGCTGAGTTCAGTTCCCAGTTACCTATAGCCACACACAACATCACACACACACATACACATGTCTCTTGCCAAACCCTGAGCAACTTGGGTAAGTATCACACACACACACACTTGGGCAAGTATCACACACACACACACACACACACACACACACGGTGTATACCTCTCGTCTGGAAACTAAGTAGGTTGTAGTAGGTGAGTTCAAGGTGGCTCTCAGCTTTTGGACTCTTAGAATAGTTGTGTAGACACGGCACAGAAGTTGCTCTTAGGCAACTGGATTCCATTATTTTCATTTTTGACTTTGAGACAGGGTCTCCTGTAGCCCAGGCCGACCTAGAACTTACTATTCTCCCAGCTACTGAAATTACAGGTGTGTGCAACTGCACTCACTTCCTGCGGTCCTGGGAATCGAACCCAGGGCTTTGCATATCCTAGGCAAGCACTAGACCACTTGAGCTACATCCTCAGTTCCTGGGTTCCACGTTGAACAGGCTGCTACTTACAGGACTCTGACCTTAAGCACTACTGCAAATGAGAAGCCCCTTACAATGCTTTGGTTTTTTGAGATAGGGTCTCACTTTCTTAGGCTGACTTGCAATTCCCTATGAAGCCAACGACTTTCAATCTCTGATCCCGCTGCATCAGTGTCCTATATGTACTGACTTTTGCCACCACGCTGGGTTTATTCAGTGCTAGAAACTGAACTGAGAGCTTCATGCATGCTAGGCAAACAGTCTAACTGAGCTCCGGCCCCATCCCATAATGTATCTTTCAGGTAGCGTTCTGGTGGAAGCTTTGCTCCAGCCCCTGGCATCCGTATACCCAAAGAATCTGGAATGTTCTGTGGGAGGTTCAAGCCCCCCTCCCCTATCTTCCTCCAAACCCTGCTGCATCTCAGAAAGCCTGAAAAATGATGACCTGTGCCCCAGAGATGCTCAAGACCACCCCCACACGGTATTTAAACTGCCTCCCAGGAAATACTTTTCTGGTCTCCTGTCTCCTCTCTGGGGGCTGGAAGGCCATCCAGGAGCGTTGTATCCATTGAACGTGGGCTTTTTCTAATTCCGTTTGATTTGTTCTGATTTGGATTGCCGCATTGGGGAGAGGCTTATTGGGGTGCAGAAACTTTTCAGGTAGTTTTTCTTTAAAGATTTGTTTGTTTTTGTTTTTAGACATGGTCCCACTACATAACCCTGGCTGACTTCACTTCTGATCGCTGGGACTGAAGGTCCCACCACTCCCAGCCTTGAAGACCTTTCTTTTCTTAAAAACCTACTTGGGTTTCTGTAGCCCCAAGTTGTGATCCCAGATCTGATACTTCCTGGGACCTTTCACAGCCTCACTCGTGGGTGAGACACATGACAGAAAGCCTTGTCCCTCGGTGTTCCTGGGAACAGGCTGTGACAGCAAACCCTACCGGCTGAGGTCCTTGCCCTGCCCCACACACGATGGGCGCACATAAGAACAGAGCCCAGAGCCGAAAGTGCTCTTGGCCCTAGGTCTGTCGGGTCTCCAGGCCAGCTCCCAACGGTGGGAAGGAGAAGAAACTGTCTCCAGCTGTGTAGAGCAGCTTCCAGCCTGGCTGGAGGAGAAACTGGTTCCCAGCACAAATGGGAAAGGAGTCAAGTTGGCCAGGGGTTCCCCCTGCAGGTCAACAGCCAGGGGCACCTGCCCAGCACAACACACAGGGCTGGCCCAGGAGGTAGAGACAAGCGTTACAAGGTTCCTGCCCTCCAAGGCCTCTACGTGGGGAAAGGCACGGCCACAGGCTGTGGAACACAACGGGGCTCCACAAGCCCAGGAGATAACCCATTCAGCAGCCCCTTGCCCCCTGGGGGAGTCTAACCGCTTGCCCCTCCCCCTCAGCTTCCAAAGGCAGTCTCCGTGTAAATGAAGGAGCCCCAGAAAGAGAGGCAGGCTCCCCGGCTCTCTCTGCCTACATCCCCTACACCTCAGAGTGACCTCGGGAGGACTCTTAAGCTGCTGGTCTGTCCGTCCCTGGGTGGCCGTGCCCCACCTGAAGTCTTCAGTGAGGGATGCTCTCAACCCGGCCTCAGATAACTTGCTCCTTGTGTCCCGCTAACTCTGCAGATGCCCACCTCACAGTGAATCCTGTCTGTTAAGTGCCTGCAAGATAAACCCTGCCCCCACCCCACCCCTGGATTCTTTCCTTCAAGCAGCCTCTGGTTCCTCCCCTACAGCATCCCTCACACCTCAAACTCCCTTGAGTGGCTCCCATCCCCGAAACCAGCCTTTCCCCTACACCCTACAATTCATCCCAGCTTAAGCCACCCTAGGAAGAGATCCCCACCCCGTGCAGTTCCTTTTTATTTTAAAATCTCCATATGAAAACACTCCAGGAAGCTCTCCACAGACCGGGGCAGTGCTGTTAAAGCCAGCCTCCCCCAGCCTCTAGGAAGCAGCTGCGCACCGAGTACCACTCACCAACATCAGCCACTCACGATGCTCAGGACGCCTGGAGCACCCGGAGCAGTACACACACTCAATTCACAGCAGCAATATCAAGCTACTGCCGATACTGGTAAGTTGGGTACAATGCCAAGCCTGTTGCCCCTATTGTTCCTCAGATGAGAGCCCACGAGGCAGGTTTGTGATCACTTAAGTAGGAAACTGGGGCTTGGGAAGTACACTACCATGACAACAGGGCACAAGTATGGGAGCCAGTCTGAGAGTGTCCACCGTGACACACTGCCTTCCTCCTGCCCAGGATTTACCCACCAAACGCTGTCAGTTGAACAGCACTGAATCGGTCTCTTTTCATCATCCAGGGAACACGAAAGCCCGGGACCCTGACATCAGTGCAGATAGAGGTCCCTTCTGCTCTCCCATCCTACTTTACAGATAGGAGTTTAAAGGTCTGACTCTCCCTGTGGCGAAGGAAAAGCACGGAAGATCTCAGGATACAGGGTTGTTTACCTCTGGAGTGTGCTCAAGCCACCAGCTTGAGACCTGTCAAGATAATTCCTTGGCCAGAGACTTTGGACTTTAGCCTACCGTGTTTGCATCTCACTGCAGAATTCCAGCACCTCAGGTGGTACTGGGGGTATGGCAGCCAAGGGAGCTGGCCTAGAGGAAGGTGTAAAACCGCCACTACCCAATACTGACTGGGCTTGCCCCCATGCCTTCTCTGCCCAGGATGTAATTCACCACCACCATCATAATCAGTCTGTGGTCCTCATCATCACTGTAGCCCCTCCTTGAAACCATAAAGTGTCAAAGAACTCCTCTGTATTAACACACGCTGTAAAAATGACATTTGGGGGTTTGGGTACCAGGGCCCCAGTGATGCTGAGACTTGCTCTAGGAAGGAGGACAGGTTTCTGGACACTTTAGTTTGCACATATTGATCTCTGACTTTGAGGCATCCCTGTGAAGAGTCTAGAGAGGGCTTCACAGCTTCCAGGGAGTTATCAGGTGTTGAGGCGTTCTCCCTCCAAGAAAACCCACCCGGGCTGCCTCATGAGCCAACATACTCCTCAAACTTGTCATCCCTAAGGACTGTTTAAACTGCGGGACTGCAGCCCTCAAAGCTGTTCCCATCTTCCTCTCATGGCACTCTTCCTCCAGTGACACAGGCCCTTCTTCCAGCGGTAGCGCTCTTCCCTTTCAGGCCAGGCTGGTGGCGTCCTAGGCCACACACAGGAGGCTTAAACCTTCATTCGCGAGCACTGTCCACCACGATGGAGACTTCATCGCCATCTCATTGTTCTCCCCTAGAATCCAGTTCCCCAACACTAACACCCACGGCAGCAGAGTCCCTTCCTTAACCCGGCTGTCACCACAGTTCTTCTGGCCCTGGGAAGCCTCCCCTCACCACTTTCTCCCGGCTGCCACTTGATCAGGAAAGGTAGGCTACACAGTTTTAGAAGCGTGTCTCTCCCCTGGGCTGAGTATCTATCTCAGTGGTTGGCAGGGACTTTAGAACACCTGCTCTAGTTATGTTTGTAGACACTGCCTGACCTCTCAAACAGAAAGTAACATTCCACTTTCAGAAAGAACGTAGTGAGACAGTCTCCAAGGTGCAACTGATGGGAGATGGATACTTAAGATAACACGAAGAAGCAGCTCAAACCTCTCACGTGTAAAGTTTCTGTTTGCACAAAGGGATGGGAGGGGCTCACCATCCTGGCCAAGCTCTGAGAAAGGATCCGGTCCTTTGGCAACATGAAGGAACGGTCCCCACTGAGCCAGACTCTGGGACCACGGAAGGTGCTTTTAGTCCACCTGCCCCAACAGACTTAAAAAGCGCTTGGAACCAGAAGCACACTGCATGCGTGGGCACTTAGAGGTTTGCTCGCGGTCCGCTTCCGACACCTTGCAGTACGGTCCCTGGTGGCCCCCAACACAAATAAGAGTAAATCTCATTCTGGTGGCCCCGAAGGAATCTGGAACCTCCCAACACCTAAAGATTTCCCCCTTCCTCCCGCAAACCCACCAAGTGCCTCTCACGCTCTCCAGCTCACTCTACACAGGTGAAGGCTAGAGGCAAATCCACGATCTGGCCCGGCACCTGCAGCGTTCTCCAATTTGAGGGGGCGTGGATGGTACCAGGGTCAGGATTCCGAATGCGGCCATGCGGGAGAGGCTGCAAGCGGTCGGACCACGCGGTGCAGCCGGCTTCCCAGCAGCCCCGCCTGACTTGGGTGGAGGGGAACGACAAGGGTCCGGCGGAACCGCAGCTGTCGGTCCACTCACCATTACTTTCAGAGAACGACGGCGGCGACAGCAGCAACAGCATCAGCAGCACGGAGAGCGCGAGCGTGCGGCCCATGGTTGTCCTCGCCCCGGGACTCGGAGCAGGTGGCTGCGGTGCTGGCGCAGGGTCGCTCGCCTGGGTGGCCGGAGCTTCGGCGCCGCTCGGGGAGGCCTGGCGACAGCCGCGAACTCCGGAGTCGCGTTCCGGCGGCCCCTCCTGGCTGCCGCAGATCTGGGCTGGGGCGCGGAGCCAAGAGCGAGGAGCGAAGGTGGCTGCGGCCCGGGCGATGTCTGAGCGGCTGCGGCCGTGCGCGCGCTGCTGCGACGACTCCCGCCCCGTCCCGTCCGCGCTGGCCTCCGCCCCCTCCCCCAGGAGCTCGCTCACAGCGGCGGCGGGGTCGGGCGGGGCGGCGGCTGGGCGGGCGCTGGGCCGCGAACAATAAGCAGAGGAGGAAACTCCGCCCTGGAGCGCGGCGGGCGGGGGAGCAGGGGCTGGAGGCCGGGACCAGTGCGTGTGTGTGTGTGTGTGTGTGTGAGTGTGTGTGTGTGTGACGCCGATGTCCTACGCACAGCTAAAGCTGCGACCCTTGCACGAAGGCACAGATCCACAGCCTGGGAGTTCCGCTAAGAACCCACCCTTCCACGTTCCCAGACCTCAGCGCCTTCTGTGGCTGAGCCTCGGGAGCAGGCCCCCCAGCCTTGCAGGTGCCTGGATTTCGTGCAATCCTCGAGCAAGGTTGTGCTACTGGATGAGCACCCTGCCATCTGGACCGATTCTTTTTTTTTTTTTTTTTTTTTTTTTTTTTTCCTTAACCTCTACCACCGACGTTTCTCGGAGTACAAATGGATGTGACTGTTTTACTGAGAAAAAAAAAAAATCTTTTTCGTGAGTGTCTGTGTTCTATGTGCTTTGCTCGTCACAGCAGCCACATTTTTAAGCCTCATTTTTGTAGACAGGAAAATAGTCTTTAAAAAAAAAAAAAGGTTAAGAAAGTTGTTTATGATCCCTTAGGTGGTAAATGGCAGACTTGCCTATGAGACTAGTCCGGAAAAATACTTTACACACTACCTGTAATACCATAATTGCTCCATAAGAATTAATCTTGCTGAATAAAGAGCAGCGATGGGCCTCGGCTTCAAATCCAACTTGGGCTCAAAACCTAGTTGTGTGCTGAATTACTCTATGTGCCTGGGTTCTTTTCTTCCGTAAAACAAGGCTAATGACACCTCCAACAGCTGCTAAGACAATCGCTAAAGTAGGAGAAGCACTTAGCTTAGGGCCAGAACCTTGGACAGTCTCAATGGAAACAAGCATCCTGCGCGTGTGAGAAAGGCGCAGGGTGGGGTGGGGATTGGAGTTGGAGAATCTCAGAGACCCGAATTTACCCCGAGAAAGAACACAGAAGCTCTGTCGCATCCTATTGACCCTACCTTGGGAGCCTTTGCGGGTTGCAGACCCTGGGGTCGCAGACCCTGGAGTCCGCTGCTAGGAGTCACCTCTATCGCACCCGGATACAGAGCTGGAGGGGGAGGGGCGGCTAACAACGAAGAGAGGCGTTGAAAATTTGTCACACGTGACTCCTGGGTTTCTAATCCGGAGCCTTTCTGACAGATGGGCCTGGTGGAAGGATTGTTCCCGGATCTCAAGCACGGTGGACTTGATGAACCCCTAAAGTGGGCTGCGCGGGAGGCACGGGAGAGGGGCTGGGGTGTCCCTGCTGCCGGCCTCAAGCTTGGGAAGGGCTGACCCGTGTTTTCACTAGGAAATTTCTGCATGATAATTTTGGCGCGGTTTTCCACGCCGCTTTTCGGAAAGACAGAGGGTGTTCCCTGATATACGCTGGGATGTGTGTGTATCTTTGATGTTTTTTCAGTGCTGTTCTCCCGACATCAGTGCCAACAAAAGTCTTGTTCTCAAACCAAGTAATACTTTTTCAAAACTGGCATTGAAATTTTTGTTTTGTGTGTGATCTAGTTAACCCGTGCTCTTGCATTCAGTGAGTCAACTTCTATACAAACTCAAGAACAATCACATTAAGTTTGTGGATGGAGTTTGGGATATTTTAAATAAACACGATTTCAGATCGGTCCCACTATCAGATCAAACATGGTTAAAATGACAGCAGATATCTGGGCTTAGGAAGTGGGCCACTCTTTGAATCTGAAAACTGAGAAGTCAGAACTGTGGTTGCCAATCCCCGGTATCTGGCAGGACCCCCAATGTGTGTAGCATGGAACTTCCAGAAGGAGGCCAACAGAATGAGGAGACCGTGGTGTGAGCAGAGTTAGCACAGCTGGACTGAAACCCTGGCCCATTCTGCACCGTTAGCTTTGTTGGCCTGGAACACCAGCTGAAATTTATGCCCTTTATAGAGGCTTGTTCCCCATACTTCTGGAATTCAGTGCACTTTAGCTAATATTACCCATGTGTTCTGTCTGTCTCTGTGTCTGTCTGTCTCTCTATGTGTGTGTGTGTGCGTGTGTGCATGCGCCGGGGAACAAACCCACAGCCTGTGCATGCTAAGAAGCAGTCTACCATTGAGCTACACCCCAGCCCATCCACTAACAGACTTTAAACCTCTTGACATAGTGTTTACTTGTCACTTCCTCAGAGCAGCCAAACAGTACAGTAGCGTAACAGATGTTATATACAGATGCAGATACAGATACAGATGCAGACAGGCGTGCCAGCTTGGAACCGTAACACAGGAACCTATGGCACGAGGGTTAAATTTGTGTTCTTGTTGTCCCTGGCAGTCCCTGGCAGGTGAATTTGACCCTGAGGGCAGACCTGGCACTCCTCATTGCTCCTCATTTTGAAACAGTTTGACTTCTGCTTACAAGGTCCAGAGAGCTAGGACAGACCCCCATCCCATGACACCCCCTACGAAGATCTAATGCACTCTCTTGTCACTCAGGCCAGTATACCTGCATAAGGGATCAGGGATGTTCTTACAATGGACTTCCTAAGGTTGGGCTAGAGCAGTGTTCCATTTATCTCAAAATCTAGGACCTGGAAGATAGTGCCTTACCTAAAGAAAATGCACAAAGGTAAAACAGATGACTTTTATTGTATTTTTATATAAAAAAAAAAAAGCAACAGTTTACTTTTGACTGGCAAGTTGTGTAATTCTATGAATTTCCACTGGGGCTTGAATAAAGTGCCTCACTCCAAAGTCATGCCCTGTGTGTTATTATCCAACCACATCTTCTGTCTTCTGTAACAGGCAATGTGCCAGATGGTATGCACTGCGCTGAGAATGCAAATACGGGCTGCAGAGCCTCCCCTCTCTTCAGGGAGAAGTAATACCTGTACACAAACACAGTTAGCAGGTGTCGAGCACTGTGACAAATGGGGCAGCAGAGAACCAGACAGCTCAGGGAGGTTAGGGAAGGCTCTGGGGGGGAGGGATGTGGCCTCCGCGCAGAGGAGGACTTCAGGGGAAAAGGAAACATGAGGCGTTTAAGGGGAAAGAGGAGAGAGGTCGAGGTGAAGCTGGGAGCTGAGATTTCCCCCGCCCCCGCCCCCAAGGAGAGAGCCCTTTTGTGGAGCATTAGAACCTGTGAATGGAATGGTGGACTGCAAACATCTTTAAGACAATGACCAACTTTCCATGTGAAAACAGCCATTCTCGTTTCAGTACAATGAACAAGCACATGTGACTTCAGACGAGACCACAGCACAATGCGAGCCAGTGCAATGGTCCAGGGAAGCCATGAATTCATACACTGGAGACGGGAGTGAAGTGGAGGCATCGCACACAGGAAGTCTTTGGGTGCAGAAGGATGTGAACATGGGGTAGTGGCTGCAGATAGCCGCTGGTTATTAGGTGGATCCTATGAGAGCAAAGGTTGAGTGGAGGGGAGAGCAGTGACTTCCTGAGATGGAGGAGATAAGAACAAAAAAAAAAAAAAAAAAAAACGGGCTTGGGAGAAGAAAAGCCCAGTTTCAAAATGTGCTGACCAAGAGCAGGAGCAGAGGTCAGGACCAGGAGCAGTAACAAGAGAGTCGTCGAGGTCCAGGCGGAGTTGAAGGATTGATGGGATGTACAAGGAATGGTCTTCAGTGGAGTTAGGAAAAGGCTGGGATAGAGCCTGTAAAAGAGCCTCTTTCTCAGCTGGGTGGTGCTGGGGTGGAGGCAGATGTGGAGAATGCACACCAGAAAGAGACTCAGCCAGAGGACGTGGAAGGCAAAGAAAGCCATCATCCAAGTTCCCTGCTCTAAGGGCTAAGACTCACCGACATGATCGACAATGAGACCGACCGTCAGTGTGATCTCCGTGAGAAGAACAACTTTGCAGGGAAAGGCTGAATGGAGGGCAGGAACTAAGGACAATGAACATCTGAAGGGAAGGGGTGCGGGCAGAATGTGGGGCTAGGGGAAGGGCATGGCTATATCCTAAGAAGAGAGAAACTTCCACTAGGAGGAAAGAGCGAGCTGAAAGGGGGGAGTCATGAGAAGCCAGAGAACTTGGTTGCTAAAGTTTGGAGGTGGGGGCTGAGGAGATGGCTCAGCAGGAAAGGACCTGAGTTCAGATCCCAAGAACCCATGTAAAGCTGGGTGTGGTAGCATGGATCTGTATTTCAGGGCTTCTAGATCAAGATGAGAGGCCAAGACAATAGAAGCTCTCAGAAATTCTCGGATCAGCGAGCAGAGCCTGGTGCGGTGTGCGCAACAGTGAACAACAGAAAACCCTGTCTCAAGGGGGAAAGTGTCCTTGTACACCCTGTGATATGCATGTGCTAGTACTTGCACGTGCACACGCGTGTGCATGCGTGCATACACATACAGAGAGAGAGGCAGAGATGTTGAGAGAAAGAGATAGAGACACACAGAGAGAGAACTTTGAAAAAAGGTTTCGGTTTGAGACACTGTCTATTGGTCCGTCTGTCTGTCTGTCATGGCAGGTGGGGAGTCATGTTGGAGTGAGTCAGCTCAGATTTTAGCCCTCCTCTGGTTTTGGTAGCCACATATACTGGTCTTAACCTCTGGGACCCACAGTCTCTTCCTCCATAAACTAAATGTCATCCCACAGAATCCCCATGGGAGCTGGAGGGTGTGTGTAGTGCCTTGCTATTGTTTGTTTCATGAACCCACAGGAGAGCTGCCTCAATCCCCTTTTTGTCCCCAAAGTATTCATTTCCTCTTGCAAGCCTGAGTCTAGTGTCATGTTGTGCCCCGGAGTGACAGGTGAGAGACCTTTTCTGCAGAGGTGATGCCCTGTCTCAAGCCAGAATTACAGGTTACACAGTCTGCTTGAACCTACTCTCTCCTCGTATGAAACGGCTGTGTGTGCGGTGTCCCAGAATTCCCATGCCCCTCACATTCAGACACAGCCCAAGGCTCTGTGGATGTTGGGGGTCGCTGATGTCTTCACCCACAGGAAGAAACCTGAGGCCCAGAGACCTCAGGCAACATCCTCAGTCATGTAGCTTACAAACAAAGATGGTTCCGGAAGCAGTCTGTCCCTCCAGTTACAGTTCTAATCCCCTGGTCAACCTTATTCTCATTCATGCACCTGTATCTCACAATGTGGAAAGTCTCAGGTCCCCTAGCAGGAGCAAAAGAGGTATGCATGGATACAGAAGAAGGAGAGTTCAAACCAAAGAGGCCCAGGGTGCTAGCTTTGGCTCAGTTCTCCTGGTATACACACACCAACCTGCTTTCCAGGCTCACTGGGTACTAGCCTTCTCAATCCTCATGTAATAAAACCAGCATGCAGTTAGCCTCTTCCACCCTGGAGTCCAACCAGGACTGAGTCTGCGCTTGGTCGATACTGAACGTAGCTTGGTTTGTGTTCTGCGAATGGTTTCAACACACCATTGCCCTAGCGTGATTGCATCCTTATAAACCACAAGGGTAAATGTGGTAAATTGGCCCATTTTCCAGATGAGGAAATGAAGACTCATTTCCCTGGCATGAACCTGAAGGTAGCCATGCTTTGTTCTGTGAGCTCCACCTTGGATGTTGTTGACACCCATGTCTTACTTCTCCAGTGAGCTCTGGGCTCCGTGAGGACAGAGCTGTTGTGTCTGGCTCCTTTTTGGCAGCACTGACTTTTGTCCCCTCTCTTCTCTCTGCTTTCCCTCTACCTGACACCAGGTACTGGGCTTCAGAATTAAATGTGATAATGTTTCCCACCTGCTCCAAACCTCTGCTCTTGGTCACCTAGATTCCCTAAGTTGGCTTTCAAGACCTTCCAAATTCTGATCCCTAACTAACTTTCCCTCCTCCTCTTCCATGATCTGGGAGAAGGTCTTTTAAACTGGATCCCACACACCCTCTCCCTGGCAGGTCCTTGCAGACAATGCTTCTTGGTAACATGTACATTTGGACGCTCAGTCATCATCATCCCATCAGATCAGAATTAACCATTTTCTCCTCTTTGGTTCTTCTTGTGCAACTCACCGTGTGGGTGAATGGTTTTGGTGACAAGCCTCAGTTCTTTCTGCAGGAGCAAGAACGCCCTTTTCTGGCTTACTCTTCCCCTGTGTGCACATTCAGCACGGTATCTGGGACACCCTAAGTACCCAGTACCCAGTAGTTGAGTATGTCTTGGCCCAGCTTGTGTTGCTGTAACGGGATTCCTGAGACTGAGCAATTTATGAAGAAGACAGGTTTCTTTAGCTACCTGTTCTGGAAGCTAGGAAGTCCGGGAACATGGTGCTGACCTCTTGGCAATTGGAAAGGGGCTTTTCACTGTATCACAGGGAGGTTAAGGCTGTCATGTGGTGAGATACAGCAAGCTGAAGAAAGGTGTCTTTTTTTGTGGTAAAACTACTTTCCAGATACCTCATTTACCTATGAATCCATTTATGATGACAGAGTCCTCATGAACCAATCATCTCCCACAGGTCCTGCCTCTTGATGCTGCCGCCGCCATGGAGACCAAGTCCCCACACAGGAAATTTGGAGGTTCCCACAACTGAAAGCACTTGGCGGTCAATGATAAGAACACTGAGTAACCGCTGTGGCTAAATACCTGACAGAAACAGCCTACCGAGGCAAAGATGGCCTTTGGCTCCCAGTTCAGAATGCTCTGTCCATGGTTGCTTGGGCAGCCATGATGGCAGCGTGAATGTGTTCCTATCTCATGGTGGACAGGAAACACTAAATAGAGCCAGGAAATCATGACCTGGTGGAATCCTTAAAGACTTGCCTCCAGAGTCCAAGTTCAGAGGCAGCTTCCTGAAGTTTCCACAACTTCCCCAAATTGCCCCACCAGCTGGCAACCACATGTCCTGTGAGATGCTTCATGTTCAAATCGTGACAGCTGGAGTTTATCGATCCTCAGTGTACATGCCAGTGCCGGATTAAAACCCGGCTAGCCACACTGAATCTTCAGGACCATTCTGCGAAGCAGGTGCTATTATTAATCCTGACTTCTGGGTAAGGATTTTGAGGCTCTTGGGGGAATTAAATAGCTTGCCTAAAATCCCACAGCTGTTAAGTTGTGGAGTCAGGGTTAACCCTGCCAACTGCACTCCTCAGCCACTCACTGACTTCAGACAGTGAGATCACGCGGTGTAGCTACAAAGTGATATTTATTGTGCTATGATTTTGCCTGCTGAGTCTCATAAAAACAGTTAAAAGATGAAACATCTGCCCTTAGGAGTAACCCAAAATATAAGTGAGACAAGTCAACCACGAGTGCTTTGCTCCATTCAGGGAAACAATCATTCTGTTTGCCCCCAGTGACAGACACACCACTGGACTCGAATGAAAAGCACATGGAGTTTTCAGTTACTGAACTATCTTTATAATATACATGAGAAAGACCATGCTAGCGGTGTTTAAATCAAACACATGCATGAACTTAGCATTGCATCATGTGACCCCAGGCCATCGAGATGGCTCAGTAGTAAAGGCCCTTGCTGCTAGGACTGATGACCTGAGTTCAGTCCCTGGGACCCTCATGGGGAAAATGAAGGACCTGGCTCCTGCAGTTGTCCTTTTACATATCTGCTATAGAGTGTGTGCCCCCAAGTTAATAAACATAGCAGGAAAGATTAATGAGTCATACAAGCTTTTACATCTTCCTCTACCTGCAAGTAAGTATCAGAATGACCATAGCAGCCCAGTGGTTTCATCCTATAGCTCTTGGCCCTTCCCATTCACTATTGCATAGATCTGCAAACTGTCCTGCTTGGTTGGAGTTTGTTAAGGGATTTCTTTTTCATCTTCCTGGTTACTTGATAGGCAGCATCCAAGGTTTTGTAGCTCCAGTGCGGCATGTGTCCTGGGGAACACTTTCCATTTTAAGTCTCTAGCTCAGGTGCCCTTGACTCTGGCTATGGGGATAAAATGGGGACAGCTGAAACAGCCCTGTCATGGCCCCTGAGGACAGGACTGCAGACCACAGAGGTAAACACACTGGCCAGATATGGACAAATGGCGGCAGTGGTCGAGGCTGGGATGGGCACTGGAGGTTCCCATGACTTCACTAACCTCTAGGGCATTGTTCTTCCCCACGTCACGTGGACGATTTGATGACATTTGCACGGTCAGGCACACCACTGGATGTAGGAGCTGCCTTAGAGCAGGAAGAGTCGGAGCATGGCTAGGAGAGCCAAGTCACAGCTAAAGAGGACGAGGAAATATCCTTCTCTGTGTCTCTACACGCACAGGCACATTCACTCACGCACCCATGGACTCGTGCATACACACACCTGCATGCACATACACCCACCCACATACGTGTGCTCACACTTACACACACACACACACACACACACACACACACACACACACACACACTGTCTTTGCAGAGGCAAAATAGCAAATGGCAGGATTTTCAAGTTGGAAAGAATCCCGACAATCTGGCTTTGAATGAAAACACAGATCTGGGCAGAAGCTGCCATTCATTAGTGATCTTGCCTAGCAGTTGTGAGGTCCTGGGTTCAAGTCCTGCCACTGAAGAATAAATGAATACACACTGAAGAATAAATGAAGTGAAAACACAAGGCATCTCCCCCGATAGTTTCTTTTCCCCCCCTCACACTGTAGTCCACACATACATTTTTAGTCTTTCTCTGTATGCAGTATTGCTCTCTTCATTGTACCCAGTTTTATGAAGCCACAGCCATGTCCCCAGGTTCGGACCTACATGTTGCCTAGCCTTGGGAGGTGCTCAATTGGCAGCAGCTAGGAAAATGAACAGCTTCTCGCAGATAATTTAAAAGGTAGAATTATCTAGTTCAGCTGTCCCCAACATGTGGGTCTTGACCTGTTTGCAAACCTCTAT